AACCTCCCTGTGATTCGACCCCAGTCTTGTCAGGTTATTTATTACTTCGACACTCCTGCACTTGGAAAAAGACATCAGTCTTTCAATCATGTCAACTATCTTAATTTTAAATTATCTTATTGTTTCATTAACAATGTTGCGTTACAGCGATTGCACATGGATGAGAGAAGAAATATGGAAGAAATTCCTATCATTAGAAGACCATTTCAACATCCTAAATGAAAAATCCATCGCAAATAATATAAGTGTATCACTACTTAAACCTGTTTGTTACTTCAATAGAATATACATGGATAATTTACGTCACCCATATAAGTCATCGATATATTTTGTTGTCTCCTATTAGAAGATAAGGAAAGAAAAGGGATATCACCTCTAAAAAAAAATAATCATGCATTGAATCATAAATTGACGCAGTAGAAAAGGTTGTTTCTCTCTTGAGTACCTGGTTTCATTCACAGACAAAAAAGAATTTCCAATAAGATTTGATGATTGAATCCAATTTTACGACACATATGGAAAACTTCAATTGTTACAGGCCTTACATTGTTCCTTTGCAGAAGAGCATTTGTTTCGCCCATTGAACGCGGATGCTCTATCAGCTCCAGAGTTGTACCACAGTTAACGAGAATGAATGAGCCCTTTATAACAATGACTATAGGTGGAGAATTTATTCAAATAAAAAACCATTGTGTTGAAACTAAAATTAATATTCCATGCACTTAAAAAAGAGACATGTTAGTTCTGCAATAGATCATCAAGCATGCTTGGCTAGTAAAAACTACAAGACAATATGTTGAGAGATTTTCTCACCACTGCTAGACCTAACTACGTATTCATCAACATCAACTCCAGGAAGGGTGAAGCCTGCCCTGGTCAAAAGATTGCCTGCATCACAAACTTGAATGGTACAAAATATATGTTGGCTCAAGTGATACCATTTTGGGGTAGATGGTACCCTCTCAAGTAATCCTTATAAGTACATCAGAACCAGATATTTCAAATCAGATTAAATGCCAATATATGTATGCAACACAGCCATGTGTTTACTTCAAGTTTCCTAAGGATATATGTACCCCTTATCTCAAGAAGTTCACGAATGGTAATTGCCAAGTGACAACAAACATACTTGTGCCAGAGGTGATATGCAAGGACTAATGCCTCCTTCACGCTACATTTGAACCACAGTGCATGGTATTCTCAGCTCCCTACACATGTCAGCAAGCAGAAAAATCAGTAGGCAAATTTATTGGTTAACATACTGTTTACTTTAAATCAAAATATAAAAAAGGATGAAGAGGCAACTTCAAAGTTTCTCCACCTGAAATAGCTGCTAAAAATAGGCCATCCGACTTCAGTGCTAGTTTACACTGTCATGAAAACCAATGAAATGGACAAGTGTCATAGACATGACCACATCAGGATTTCAAACAAAATGACAAGTAGAGAGATTTCATGACAATAACAACCAAACACAGCTAAAAATAGAAGAGAAATAAGGTTTACACGTCTACTGCTCTGTGTTTGTGGATGTTGTAGACATCCATAGCACTTTCAGAATACTATTGATGGTCTGAAATGTCAAATTATTTGCTGATGAAAGACTGCTTTGGTCTCATTTTATAGTCTTATATCTTGATTTATCAAAAGATTATTCTCCTATGCTTCAGAATAAAAAGAAAAAAGAAAAAATTTTGGAGTTATAGTTAAATTGAAGATAACTTTCAGAGTAGCGCGCGGAAAGCACTTCTATATCTTGCTATCTGCATGGCAAACATGTATGCTTCATCCGTGTAGTTTTTTCTCCTGGGGTTAATAATTCTAATGGTTTCCATCCCCTAATGTCGCATGCATTTACAAATTCTGGAGGATATCTTGCTATCCGCATGGCAAACATGTATGCTTCATCTGTGTAGTTTTTTCTCCTGGGGTTAATAATTCTAATGGTTTCCATCCTCTAATGTCGCATGCATTTACAAATTCTGGAGGATATCATGTATGAGAAAGATGCTAAAAGCTAAAAGAAAATCATAATAAAGAAGTGCATAACTGTATCATGGCTCCTGGAACATCATATGTCCAAAGGAGTCCCAAGCAACTGATAACCAAATCTACCGAACTTCATAGTCAAATACAAAACATAACATTTAAAACCAGTTCTTCCTGAAGACTAGTTTTCACAAGAACCAAATAGATGAAATTCACTCACATACCTTTCTTTTATAGGTAGAAACTCCTCATCTCCCATCACAAAGGACGTTTCAATATTCTGATTTGAATCTTGTTGAGCAGCTTCAGCATCCTTACATAATTTAACCATGTCATTTGAAGTGTCCATCATGATAAGCTTTTCAATGGAGCCTGGCATTTAAAGTGGCTACAAGATTAAAGTTTAATATTTATGATATAATTTACAAGAACATGCCTAGTGCAGGAAAATGACTAGAGAAAGAATAACAGCTTTTCCTATGTGTATGCTCAATTTCAAATACCACTTTGTGGTATCAAAAACGTGTTTCAAGTATTGTCTTATCAACTGCCAAAATCTCTGATAAATAATGTCACATGATTAGAATTCCATTCAACCGAATCCCTCCCTCTTTTGAACCTCTTAATTCATGATCACTCAACCTTACAGTTAGTGCTGAACACCCATGTCTCAAAACTGTTAAAATACAACCTGAAAATTTTTCAAATTATCTTCTATAGTTATTGAAACACATAAATAGCAGGAAAAGTCTTAAAATCGATTCTCACCACGACCACGTAACAAACGTCTGACAGCTTCCGAAGAACCTCCTAAACACAACGCGGTAGGAAATGTTTTCTTGCAATCCTGCAAAACACACAACAAACGGAATCAACAATCTGGAACTAAGCAAAACTCATCAAACTTCAAAATTTAAACTTCTAAAACTCACCACGACTAGAAAATGCAACTTCACAAAAATTAAAACCTCTCATTTCTTAATACTACAGCATTCTAAACATTCTTAAAAACAACAGTAGACAAGTTACTACCTCCAAGCGATCCAACAAATTGTCAGCACCAGCATCCACAAAAGGATCACTTGGCCTCATCAACCAAGCAGCTCGGTCACGCTGCAGCCACCCCACAATGGGACCAATACCCAGGAGCAGATATACAATATCGAATTTGAAAACAAGCAAAAACACACAAAAACAAAGATACCAAAATGTTCAAATCATAAATTTACAGAGAAAGACTGGATTTTTACCTGTTTTCGTTTGAGTTCCCGATCGAAAACCTTGACCCTTGGACTTTGTGGCCCATCGATGGTGTTATTGTCAATGTTTGTGCAATAAGAAATTCAGGGGATGAGAGCGTACGTCTCTTTTGTTGCTCTTCTTCCTCCTCTAAGTAGCAACTGTGAAGTCCTCTGACACAGAGACAGGGGGCCTCTCATTTTCTTTAAAGTTTCAGTAGTTAATGTGTTTGGCCTCTAGAAGCTTTCAGAATCTCAATAAAAATCTGATTAATTGTTTTTTATATAAATATAATTTTATCTATTAATATTAAAAATAAATTTTAAAAAAATATTATTTTAATATATTTATAATTCAAAAATAATTTAAAAAATAATCTGGGTCATTATCCTCAACTTCTCAAAGAAATTTAGCTGTAAATGATCTCGAGTGAATTTATTAAGTGCTCATTCTATATTTAAAAAAAATTAAATTAATTTTTTTAATATTTTTGGATTTTTTATATACTAATATTAAAATTAATTTTTTTAAAAAATATATTTTAAAATAAAAAATATTTTAAAAACAATTGTTATTATAACATCACATAATCTAACTTGGACATGTTTTACTAACTATCAACAATACATGGAACTGAGAATTTAAATGAATTTGTCAATTTTCAAATGTTTGATTTGAATTCTCAAACTCTTAATACATTGGTGTGGCCATGCAAGTATGCATAAGTTTTCAATCCACCGAGCCAACAAATAGAAAAATTTAAAGGTTAAAAAAATAAAAATAAGTGTAAATATTTTCAAAAAACATATTCAAGATGAAAGTGCCAAATATATACTGAATTATCTAGACTCATAAAACACCCATCAGTTAAAATTGACATGAGCTTATTATGTAAAATATCTTTTTTGTAGAATTTGAGATAGAAAGAATAAAGACTAACTAAGAAAGTAGGGTAGATGTTTTCAAAGAAATTGCTAAACAAACACTAAAAAAGCCCTTACCATAAACTCATTGTGTAGATGCATTAAATACACTAACATCGGCTACAACTTGCGTTAAATAGCAATCCCTTAATGTTTGAAATTTTTTAAAAAAATCTAATTTTCATGTAATTAAAGATAAAAAGAATAAAAATAAAAGTAGACATTTCCCAGGAACTCAAGGAACATACTCAAAAACAGTGTGCACGACATCTGCCAAATGATCTAGGCTTATGAAACATCTACATGAGCTTATTATGTGAAATAATTTTTCTAACATTGAGGATAGAAAAGAATAAAAGGTAATAAAGAAAATAGGGTGTATGTTTCTAAAGAAATCACTAAACAATCAACACTAAAGGAGGTCATGCCATGAACTTATTGTGTAGATGCACAAAACACACTGACATTAGCTATGACTTGCATGTAATAGCAACCCTCCTATGTTTGATTTTTTTTTTTTATTAAATCCTAATTTTCATATAATTGAAGATAAAAAAAAAATGAGAGTTGACATTTTCAAGGAACTCAAGGAACATATTCAAGACTAGTACACCTGACATATGTTGGATGATCCAGGTTCATGAAACGCTCACTGGTCGAGATTGATATGAGCTCATTGTGTAAAATATTTTTTGTAAAATTAAAGACTGAAAGAATAAAGACTAACAAAGAAAGTAGGGTAAATGTTTCCAAAGAATTCACTAAACAATAAACATTAAAGGAGGCACTGCAATAAACTCATTGTGTAGATGCACTAAACACACTAACATTGATTATGACCTGCGTGAAATAGCAATCCCCCTATGTTTGATTTTTTAAAATTTTAATTTTCATATAATTAAAGATAAAAAGAATAAAAATAAGAGTGGACATTTCCAAGGAACTTAGGAAATATATTCAAGACCAGTACTACATCCGCTAGATGATTCAAGCTCATAAAATACCCGCATAAGCTCATTATGTAAAATAATTTTTCTAACATTAAGAATAGAAAAGAATAAAAACTAAGATAGAAATTAGGGTATATATTTGCAAAAAAAATAAATCACAAAACAATAAACACTAAAGCAGACTACTATGAACTACTTGTGTAGATGCATTAAACACACTAACATCGGCTATGACTCGCGTGTAATAGAAATCCCCCTATGTTCTAATTTTTTTTATTAAATCCTAATTTTCATATAATTGAAGATAAAAAGAATAAAAATAAGAGAGGACATTTTCAATGAACTCAGGGAACATATTCAAGACTAGTGTGTATGACATCTACTAAATGATCCAAGCTCATGAATGCCCGCATAAGCTCATTATATAAAATAATTTTTCTAACATTGAGGATAGAAAAAATTAAAACTAATAGAGAAAGTCGGGTGTATGTTTCTAAAGAAATTACTAAACAATAAACATTAAAGGAGGCTCTACCATGAACTCATTGTATAGAAGCACTAAACACACTAACTTTGGATACAACTTGCATGTAATAGCAATCCCTCTATGTTTGAATTTTTTTTATTAAATCCTAATTTTTATAGAATTGAAGATAAAAAAAATAAAAATAAGTGTGGACATCTTCAAGGAACTCTTGTAACATATTCAAGACCAATATGCGTGCCTTTTGCCGGATGATCCAGGCTCATGAAATGCTCGCATTAGCTTATTGCGTGAATTCCTTTTCTAACATTGAGGATAAAAAAGAATAAAAAAGAATAGAGAAAATTGGGTATACATTTCTAAAGAAATCACTAAACAATAAACATTAAAATAGGTTATGCCAAGAATTCATTGTGTAGATGCATTAAACACAATAACAGCAGCTACGACTTACGTGTAATAACAATCCCTCTTTGTTCAAATCTTTTTAATTCAATCCCAATTTTTATATAATTGAAGTTAACATGAATAAAAATAAGCGTGGATATTTCTAAGGAACTCAGGAAATATATTCAAGACTAGTGTGCATGACATCTGCCAGATGATTTAGTCTCATGAAATGCTTGCATGAGCTCATTATGTAAAATAATTTTTCTAACATTAAGGATATAAAAGAATAAAAAAAAATAGAGAAAGTAGGGTGTTTGTTTAAAATAAAAGAATAAAAAGAAATAGAGAAAGTAGGGTGTTTGTTTAAAAAGAAATCAATAAACAATCAACACTAAAGGAGACCCTACAATGAGCTAATTGTGTAGATATACTAAACACACTAACATTGGTTACGACTTGTGTGTAATAGCAATCCCTCTATGTTTGAATTTTTTTATTATTAATATAATTTTCATATAATTTAAGATAAAAAGAATAAAAATAAGCATGGACATTTTCAAGGAACTAAGGGAACATATTCAAGACAACTATGCATGATTTCCGTTGGATAATCCAGGCTTATGAAACGCCCATATAAGCTCATTATGTAAAATAATTTTTATAACTTTAAGGATGAAAGAGAATAAAAAGTAACAAAGAAAGTAGGATGTTTGTTCCAAAATAAATCAATAAACAATCAGCACTAAAAGTGGCCCTACAATGAAAACATTGTCTAAATGCATTAAATACACTAACATCAGCTACGACTTGTGTGTAATAACATTCCTTCTATGTTTGAATTTTTTATTATTAAATCCTAATTTTTATATAATTGAAGATAAAAAGAATAAAAATAAGCATGGACATTTTCAAGGAACTAAGGGAACATATTCAAGACAACTATGCATGATTTCCGTTGGATAATCTAGGCTTATGAAACGCCCATATAAGCTCATTATGTAAAATAATTTTTATAACTTTAAGGATGAAAGAGAATAAAAAGTAACAAAGAAAGTAGGATGTTTGTTCCAAAATAAATCAATAAACAATCAGCACTAAAAGTGGCCCTACAATGAAAACATTGTCTAAATGCATTAAATACACTAACATCAGCTACGACTTGCGTGTAATAACATTCCTTCTATGTTTTAATTTTTTATTATTAAATCCTAATTTTTATATAATTGAAGATAAAATAAAAATAAAAATAAGTGTGGATATTTCCAAGGAACTCAGGGAACATATTCAAAGTAGAGGCTCTATCATGAACTCATTATGTAGATGAACTAAACATGCAAGCATCTGATATGAGTTGCTTGTAATAGCAATCCCTCTCTGTTTAAATTTTTTTATTCAATCCTAATTTTAATATAATTGAAGATAAAATAAAAATAAAAATAAGTGTGGATATTTCCAAGGAACTCAGAGAATATATTTAAGACCACTGTGCACTGTAATCGCCGAATGATCCAATCTAATGAAACTCTTGTGTGAGCTCATTGTGTGAAATAATTTTTCTAACATTAAGGATAGAAAAGAATAAAAAGTAACAAAGAAAGTAGGGTGTAAATTTCCAAAGAACTCATTAAACAATCAACATTAAAAGAAGCCCTGCCATGAACTCATTGTGTAAATACACTAGACACATTAACATCAACTAAGACTTGCATGTAATAGCAATCCCCCTGAGTTTATTTTTTTTAATTAAAACCTAATTTTCATATAATTGAAGATAAAAATAATAAAAATAAGCTTAGAAATTTTCTAGGAACCCAAGGAGTATAATCAAGACTAATGCGCACGACTTTCGCTTGATGATCTAAAATCATGAAATGCTCGCATGAACTCATTGTATAAAATAATTTTTCTAACATTAAGGATACAAAAGAATAAAAAGTAATAGAGAAAGCAGGGTGTACATTTCCATAGAAATCGATAATCAATAAAAACTAAAGTAGGCTCTCCAATGAACTCATTATGTAGATGTACTAAACACACCAACATCAGCTACGACTTGTGTGTCATAAAAATCCCCTTGTGTTTGATTTTTTTATTCAATCCTAATTTTCATATAATTGAAGATAAAAAAAATAAAAATAAGTGTGGACATTTCCCATGAACTCAGGGTACATATTCAAGACCAGTGCGTATGACATCCACCAGATGATTCAGGCTCATGAAACACTCATATGAGTTCTTTGTGTAAAATAAGTTTTCTAACATTAAGGATATAAAAGAATAAAATGTAATAGAGAAAGTAAAGTGTGCATTTCTAAAGAAATTACTAAACAATAAACACTACTTTCTATAAAACAATG